ATCAACGCTGATGGACCTGGTGATCATTGGGCTATTGATCTTTGTGAATTACACTGCACCTCCTTCTGGCAACAACTACATTCTCGTTATGGTTGACGTCTTTACTCGTTTTTGCGTTTTACGCCCTATTCGCTTTAAATCAGCCATTGACATTGTTAAAGAGCTTTCTTCGGTCTTCAGCCTTTTCGGTTATCCAAAGATCATACAAAGCGACAACGGTAGCGAGTTCAAACACAACTTTGTTCACCTTCTTTCCAAGCACACTGGCATGGATCATCGCCTTGTTACACCATATCATCCTCGAGCCAACGGCTTAGCTGAACGTATGGTTGAAACGGTTAAGACGGCACTCTTCAAACGCTTAGAGGGCAGACCTGAAACGTGGGATTTATACCTTGATAGTACCATGTACGCAATCAATACCAAACACCACTCTGATCTCAAGACTCGTCCCTTCGCTTTGATGTTTGCTCGTCAACCGAATGCAATGCGTGATTATTCCCAAGCCAAATCAGCCAGTCCTGCCGAAGTCACGAAGTCCATCATGAAACGTATGAAGGAAATGGAAGATATCGTTATCCCTGGTATCCACGAAGGTCGTAAAGCTCGCAATGAAGTCACCAAAACACGCTACAACAAGACGCATCGCATGCACAAAGACATTGCTATTGGTAGCCAAGTCATGATTGTCAACGTCAATCGTAGCTCCAAGACCGATCCAATTTATGACGGACCGTACATCGTGCATTTCAGGACACCCAAAGGCAACTATGTTTTACGTGACAAGATGGGCAAGCTCCTACAGCGTAACATTCCTCCGCATCAAGTTAAACGTGTCTCAGATGATCCTAAAGCGGATGGTGACACCTTTTATGAATTCGAAGCTATTGTCGATCACCGTTTGCATGCACAACACGGCTATCCAGAATATCGTGTGCATTGGCGAGGCTACAGCGATGAGGACGACACATGGGAACCAGCTGAAAACTTTAGCGATATCTCAGCTATCAACGCCTATATCAAACGTCGTTTTCCAAATGGTATTCCATCAGATGACCCATTTTACGCTGCCGCACCAAACAATGACGGTGCACGAGCCACCAAACGCAGACGCACCGACACATCACGACGCACTTAAGAAGCAGTCTTTTCCCATACTTTTTCCTACATGGTTTTTTGCTGGGTTTTTCTGAAAGCTTACACCCATCATCACATGAGGTTCACAGTGCAACTCTTTCTTTCCATTTGCGTCATTCTTATCTTTTATCTTTTATCTTTTATTATTCTATATCACTTATCCTTTGATCCTACACATCCTACCTTTCAATCTTTTCATCGGTTGTTCCAACCTGGTGGGGGGTAATGTTGTATCCTGGTACACATTCTCACGTTTGTCAACCTGCTTTCTCTATCATACGATGGTATTCCCCTATCACCCGAATGAAGGTTTACCTTGTCATCACCAACCTTATCCACATTGGTCACCTATTGCTATATACGTACACGCTTCATCACTGTAGCACCCGTTGCATGGTTGTATCACACACGCCTTCTCGGTATACTCCATTAGGAAGCACACACACACACACACCCTCTTCAACCACCATCATCCTTAAAGCTATAAATACGCTCAACAACCACCACTTGAATAAAGGATCAATCATCTTATTGAGTCTCGTGACCATTAGTCTCCTCTTCTTATATAAGTGATATTACAGCCAGACCCTGAAAAGCGTTTTCACTTACATACGGATGCCTCTTCAGTTGCTGTTGGCGGTGTGCTCTCACAACCTGGAGATGACGATCTTCTTCACCCCGTTGCTTACGCATCACGCTCGTTGAAAGATGCTGAGTTCAATTATCCTGTACACGAGCTTGAACTGTTGGCAATCAAGTATTGTCTTGATGAATGGCGACACAATTTGGATGGACCATGTTTCACGGTGTATATGGATAATCGATCTCTTGCTACGTTGAAGACCAACACGAATCTTTCAAAATGGCAAATCAGATGGCTTCAAGAGTTCCAATCTTATGTATTCGATATACATCACATACCTCGGGAACGCAATCACGCTGCTGATGCTCTTTCGAAAAGACCACCAGCTGAGCCATCTCATCCAAATGCAAGTTTCGAATT